CCCCCCCCCCCCCCCCCCCATGCACCTGCATACTCGTCTACATGCGCATGTCTTACTGTCTTCTGTCTTTCTTTGCTGTGTTCCTGTAGGATTAATCATCCTAGCATTCGGTCTCCGTGAGTTTTGGTGCAGATCTTTATGTAAAACCAGTGTCCACACATATTTCCATAGTCTTAGTGGCTTTGGACGTTCCATTATGCATTTCTCCAAACGTTAGACTCTTTGATCTTCGAATTCGTGTCTCTCTGATGCGTATAGCCATTCTCCTCTCTCGCTTTGCGGATTCCAGGTTCTCTTTAAGGATGAAGTAGTAACATGCGCCATCTGCCAAGATGTTCACGTTGCTAATACATATGCTTATGTGAACAAAGTAGCGTAGATGATTGATGTTTTGGTTCCACTTGCCTGTCTTGGCATGGAAGTATATGGGCGCCGCTATGTGGTAAGGAATGAAGCATGTGAGGAAGACCACCAGGTTGCTGAGAACGATCTTCATGCTCTTGTTGTTGCGCAGTTTGGAATCTCCAGGGTAGCGCTCCCTCAGTTTGTGCAGGATTTGCACGACGCGCACGGAACAGAACACCATCACCACGGCGCTGCTGCAAAACACTGTCTCCATAGACACCAGAATCCAACTTTTCGTCCAAGTTGAGTTGGAGAAGTCCTCGAAGCAGTAAAATGTTTTGTTCATTTGTTCATCATCGTGAAGTCTGTAGATGGGGAAGCTGCATCCAAAGACCACCATCCACAAGGTTAGGCACACGAGCACTGCCTTGCGTGGAGATCGCAGACGGCGTGCAGCGAATGGAAACTGTAGAGCGATGTATCGGTCGACCGCGATGCACACGCTCAGCATGATGCTGCCGTAGATGTTGACATAGAGCAGGCTCTCCAGCAGGGAGCAGAAAGTCTGGCCTAGAGTCCAGCGCTTCTTGTAGGCATGTATTTTAAAGGGCAAGGACAGCATCAGCAGGCTGTCGTTGATGATCAGGTTGCTGAGGTAAACCGTGGATTCGCTCCAGCGTCGAACGCGGAAGAGCAGCTGCCACAGAGCGGCCAGGATCAGAGGGAAACCGAAAACCAGAATGGGTACATATACACAGCTCTGGACCCAACACACCCAATCACAGCTGTCTGTCCGGGAAAGAGAAAGAAAGAGGTGACTTTGAAGAAATAACTGATAAAAGTACTGTATGTAATTTTTTGACTGTACTAAAGCATAAAAATACCATCATATGTTTGCAGATATTTAGGAAACATTCTAAGTTCACATGGGTGTTTCTCTGAAAAACAATGTTACAGCCAGTTATTCTACATTGAAATTTGTGTTCCGTGTCGGAATGTCTGTAATTGTTTTGGTCTGTGTGATTCCACCCACTCCCAAAAGTATTTCAACACCTGGGGTTGCCAGTTAGTCTAGCATTTTAAATGGTGGGGGGGAAGGTGGCCACAAAATGAGCATGATGAGAAAAAAAAAAAAACATTGTAGAATCTATGGTACACTATCAAGAAGTGCAAACCTGCAAATGTTTGTGTCTTACAAAAACACATCGATTCGCTACAGGAGGCCTTTGTTCACCCCCCGGAGCCGTGTGAGGCACTTTTTATTATGGATGGATGCGCTTTATTTCACTTCTTTTGGACTGATGCACTGCAACACTGCGACTGCCATTAAACAGCTTGGAAGAAAGACAATTTTTAATATAACTCCGACTAGATTCGTCTGAAAGAAGAAAGTCATATACACCTAGGATGCCTTGAGGGTGAGTAATTCATGGGCTAATTTTCATTTTTGGGTGAACTAACCCTTTAAATTTAATTATCACTGTAACCTAATAGGGAAGTCGTGGCCTAATGGTTAGAGAGTTGGACTCATAACCC